CGCTTGGCCCGGAGAGTCTGTCTGGGTACCGCCTCTGGTGTTACTAGGCCTGGCTAGGTACGTCAGCCTGTTCTAGGATGCTTTAGTTAACCAGATAGGCCAAGCCATATCGGTATAGTTTGGTATTGATGGAAGTACGGGGTTATACGTAACATTAGTAAGCGCTATTTGTGAACTCTTAGGTGACTGCTCATAAGACCTTTCTCCTGCCAAAAGCTCTCTGGTAGGGCAAAGAGCTCGTTTAGGAATGGTATTCTAACATTTCTACCGTGAAATGTTAAAGAGTTGGCTTTTGTGACTTAGGTCAAATTGTTAGAGTGAGTTTTTCTTTCAAGCTGCAGTGGATATTGACAAAGATTTGTCATTAACTAGACTAAGTAGATCCGGCTTCCTGCAACTTGTAGTAGTTAACTGTTTAATTTTTCTGAAGCTAAACTTTTTTTCCCCTTTAGCATCATACAGTTTAATACTTGATCAGTGCAACTGGCGCAATGACTTCTTTTTTTTTTTATTCTGATTTTCCTCCTTTTAAGAGTTACTCTTGACTTCCCTTAACGACCTGGATCTGCTGACTTAGTGCTGTAGTTGCAGCTTAACTTTTACATCAGCTAGAAAACGTGAGCCTGAAAAAATTTGTTGAATTTGAAATCTTCTGGTGGGACTCTTGCAGACGTTTCAGAAAGATCCCATTTCGTTCGCCAGCAAATGGATGCGAGTTCATCCATCACACTGTGCTTGCATATGCTGTGCTGTCTTAGTGCTGCTTGGAAAACTGCACATTCTGCTCTTCCCCCACCTGCATCCCAATTGATGACCAGCAGGATGGACTCCATGCAGCCTGCTGCATTTTCCTCTTCCAGGTAGCTGGAAGTAGCTGTCAGGACATGGGATGAGCCTGAAGAATTAAATTGCTGCCCTCTGTGCAGGAAAGAGTTTAAAGTGTGCTAAAATACAGTGTTTTTTCTTAAAAGTACTGGCCTTCTGTGATCAGTTACCTGTTTGGGGCTCATCTTGAGAACTTCCACACAGCAGTGTTGATAGCTCTTTGTATAAAAACCAAGCAGCGCACTTGGCCTTAGTACTGCAAAAAAACTTAAGCACATGACATTTCAGTCAGGTGAGGAGTCTCGACAAAGTCAGCATGCTTAACTTTGTTCATGTCAAGTTTAGTTGTTAGATTTTCCCTCCTCAATAAATCTGCACATGATTTTAGTCAGTCTTCTCTTGAAATACTGTCAATTACAGTTTTCAAGGTAGAATATTCTAATTTTTAAAGAACGTGATGTTCATTCTAGTAGTTTTTCTACACCTCTGGCTTCTTAATGCTGTATTACTTCAAGGTGTGCAGTGTGCTCTGCTGCTATCTTTGATAAGCTCTCGAATTGGCTTCCCTTTAAAGGACAGAGGTCCGGTTGGCTAGCACACAGTTTTCATAAGAGAACTCCAGAATCTTCCTGCATCTTCCCTCTTTCCAGCATAGAGGTGTTATTGTAATAGATAAATTATGTTGCATTTATGATAAATTTAAGAAATTACTTCCTTTCCTTTTATCCCAGGTAGGTTTGTTTTAGGAAATATTGACAGCATGATTGGGGTTGACTACTTGAATATTTTTTTTTTTTTTTATTGTAAGGTCTTCAGATACGTCTTTTTGAAAAGAGGCTGTGCTGTCCTGTATCTCATTTTTCATATTCAGACTCTGCTGTCTCCTGTTGGTATCTAATATAATGTTTTTGAACATTCAGTAAAATTATTGTGAGTTAATTTTTTTTGTTTATAATCTCTTTCAGTGGAGAAACAAGATACAACAAAGACAAGATACTACAAGGTTAGTATCAGTTATTCTGCTAGCTTGTTAGAGATGGAAAATTATTCTTCCCTGCAGAATGTGAAATCCTGTAACCAACTGCTGAAATGTTAACAATTATTATGGAATAATATTGTAAATCTTAAGAGACCTTATTTGTAAGCCAGGATGTTAGCTTGATAGCTTTACAGAACTAAGAAGATTCTAAGTTGGTCTCCACAGAATATCAAGAAATAGTGATGTATTTCTGGTATCAACAGGAGTATTAGAATAGTTCTGTTTTCTAAACAGGGGGAGGAAAAAAGTTACCTGTAATCAAATAAAGCTATAGCAGCACCTGTTACTAAGGATGCCAGAATGTCCCATAGCACTCTGTTAAATCTCAGTAGTATGAAGCCTGGGAAGAGGGCTTCTGGCGCTCAGAGGAGAAGCGAGAGCTGCAGCTCTGGTGAAGAACCAGCCAGGTGCAAGTTGGTAAGGAGCTGCAGAAGGATGGATAAAGGTCATGTAAAGAAGGCTATTGCCTTAAGAAGGTAATCTGTCACTTGCAAAAAAAGGCTACAGTAGAGCAAGCAAGAATGAAAAGTAAAGATTGTTTAAATGCTTGAATTGTTCAATCCCAGCTCCTTCTAGGAAGGCAGTCTTTAGACAAAACATTTAAAACCAGAATTCTCCTTAGTGACTGCTGACTTGTACACCCAGAACTGAAAACACTGAGCTGCTTGGTTGTCTGTTGTAGGGAAACCGAGGCTCACTGCTACAAGGAATCTAGTGGGGTTGTACTCTGAATAAATAAACTTTATACAATGCTACATGCTATGAGGAAGAATCGTGCTTCCAGGTTTTCCTACTTCTGTTTTGACATTGCAATTTACAGTTCTTGCAACATGGCTTTGTGCTCATAATAAAGCGAATAAAGAATATTCCCCTGCTTTATGTTCTTAGAAGTACCAATTATGTCTTTTAAATGCCTAGCCTTCTGTGTCAAATGACATGTAGTGGGTTCCTCTCCCCTCTCCAGTGTAGAAAGTGAACACTGCCTTGTGTTTCAAGAGGTGTAAGACCTATACCTGCATGGTGGGATCCGAGGTCTCACATGGCTGAATTACAGATGAGGTACTCAGAACTCAGGTTCTGGACTTCTGGTGTCCTGTCTTTTGCTACTGGAAGCATAGAAGTGATTGTGCATTTCTTGGTGAAAATTGTTTTTGTCGTTGTTCTGGATCTGATGAGAATTGCACACTCTCTGCTTTGACTTCCTACAAAAGTAAAATAGGTGATGCAAGTGTGGACATAGCAATTTGTTACATGTTTGTCCTTCTGCCACAGTTCTTGGTTCTCCTACAGACTCTCTGAGCTGTGACAGGAGCACACCTATTTCATTCAAGTTGGATTACCAAAGTGCTTGTTCTTTCAGCGCTGTCCTCCTAGAGCTCTATGACCAGCTAGTTTCACAGACTGCTCCGGCTGAAAACAACTTTTGGAAGGGTTGCTGCTTTTCAGCTAGGTTTGTTCCATCAACATGCTCGCTATGCAGCTGCATGAGCGTTAGTGTCAATGTGTGAGGTGAAGCAAGGGAGAGGAAGAGAGCACAACACATTGTGTTTACATCAACTGTAAAATTTTTGTGAAACTGTGTCTTTGGCAAAGAGTGTGTGCTGCTTTCCGCATTACACAGAATCCCTTCTTGTTGCCTCATTTCTTCAAGGCATTGCCAATGTTAGGGAGTGGGGAGAAGCAGGCATTTCCTATTTGTCAGGACTTGACTCTCCCAATGTGCGTGTTTTTTCCATATATGTATTTTAGTATCAACAATGTTATCTCAGTTGTATTGTCCTTTTTCTTATTTACAATCAACAAATCTGTTTATAGAGTTTCAGCTTCAGTTGTGAGATTCCTCTTGCAGGAAGCCTACCAGTGACCATTCTAAAAAGGACAAGTGATTTGAAATGACTGCTCGCATTTAGACAATGTAGGCCTCTGTTTTAAGTTTAAATTTGTCATATGTATACATTAATACAAATATAATCGATAATGATCCTTCTGTCTTCCTAGCCTGTACTCCCTTTTTTCATACAATTTGTGTGACTGAGTTTAGTGAAGACCCGAGGAACAGTGACTTTTACTAATGGTTGGCTTTACTGAAGGAGAAGCATTTTATTACGATTGAGCAGATTCTTTATTGCTGCCATGCTTGCTCAGGTTCTAATTGATCTAAAATTTGCATGTCTTAATGTTGATGGGTTTTTATTTTGTAGGTCAGGGAGTGGATGAGCCGCTCTCTGCAACTGGTTTCAGACAAGCAAATGCTGCTGGTTTATTTCTCAGTGATGTGAAGTTTACTCATGTCTTTTCAAGTGACCTCCTTCGAGCAAAGCAGGCAAGTGCTTCTTGAGGCAACCGAATGTAAATACTAGCTTCAGAATTTGGCATTTATTTGCTATCGATGATGCAAAAATAATACAGTGACAGAGAGCCAAAAGCTATTTTGATGGACTTAGAACTGCAGTTTGAGTTGTGTAGAGTTCAAGAAGGCCTCTATGAGTAAGGAAATTTCAATGAGAACAGCTCAGTTAGAAAGCGATGAAGGCCAGCTTGCTTTGCAGGATGTCATGCAGTGTTCTTACGGATTTGCCATTATTTAATACGTGCATAGGTTCTTGCTAAATGAGTAATTGGGACTTAGAGGTAACACGGACTGAAGTAAGTTTTTCTTTGAAGAAACAAAACAAATTGGCTGTGATATTGTTGTACTGTCTTATGCATTGTGGCTGTATGCTGTGTTTTTCTGAGGAATACAGACCAATATAGGCAAGATCAAGTTTTGCTGTAAAGTCAGTACAAGGATCATTAGATGTGCAGAGAGTTTGGGTTTTGGCAGGAATATAATAGCACACCTCTCACCTTGATGCACTATTTTAATAGGTTAATTAAAGAGGAAAAAATGTTAATTACTGAGTGGGATTACATGTGATTTTGTGTGCAAGATTATGAAATACTGAAAAAATTAGGGAGACAGAATTTTTAAAGGTAGAGGCATAGATCAGCTGTTCTAGGAGGGTCATGTCTCCTGTGGAAGCCGTGTCCTTAACTCTCTCTTCTGTTACTGATGCTGTGATTTCAAGAGACATGTAGGCTTCACGTGGTTGAAACTACTAAGCGATTCTTGATAGCCCTGCTGGTTGCTTGCTTTTTGCTCTGTTGTTCTGCTACAAAAGCTTGTGAAGCCTTGCTGTAAACCAGATCAACAAAATCTAGCATTAATCCCCTTTTTTTCTTAAAACATACGTCATCAACATTGCTCATCAGTTTTGCAGCACAGTCCCATAAACTGCTGTAGCAGCACAACTTAGGCAGAAAACAAACTAGAGAAACAGGGAGGGAGGAGTGCAAAAATTAGATATTTTTAAAATGAATAATAACTGCCTGACAAGTCACTTCCTTTAAGTGTGTGAATGGCAGTGATTATATTTAAAAACATTAATAGTGCTTTATAGTGTTCATAAGACTGACTGTGCTATGTGCCTGCCTTAGGGGAATTGTTTTTGAATGCTCAGCCACTTGAGAGTGAGGTTGGTAATTTTTTTCCTTATGTTAGAGACAGCCTTTTCCATGAGAAGCATTTGCACTCTCATGATGTAGAAGACAGACCTGAATTTGTCCTTTGCATAAAGGAAATGTGTTTTGCCATTTGTTTGACAAGCTATCCAGACTTTGTGGAAGCTTTTCCAAAGATGTGTAAAGCTGCCGTTTCCATTTGCTTGGAACTCCCTTTTTTGGCAGCTGCAAATCTATGAAGAAGTGTCCTTTACTATGCTGTCACTTCATAGCTCAAGTATGAGAGGAATGTACAAGTTCCCTTGCAGAAGAGGAAAAAATGTTTTTTTAAAGAAAATCTTAGTGGTAAAGTTTAATTTTCCTTGGAATGTCTCTTGCATCAGATGTAGTCAGGGTGTGTACTGGTTACTGGAACCAGGAGTGGTATGTGGTCCTCTGGCTGCTGCCCGTGCCTGACAGCTGAGCATTCAAGCCTGAGCAGGATAGGAGAAAACAGGGATGTGTTGTACTAGCTGGGCAGGAATTCCAAGAGCTACAGGAGATGCAAAGTGAGCAGATATAGGAAATGCAGAGAGAGGCTGTGCAGGGAAGCCTGTTTGAGAGAATAAGCCTAGGAGGGAGGGTCAAAGACTAGCTCCAGAAATCAGCAGTGTAGAAGAGAGCAGGCATATCTGCAATGTGAAAATTAAGAAAGACCAGCTGGACAGACTGGGATGTGGTGTGAACAAAGCATAACTCCGTAAGACTTCTAAGCTTAACAGAGCATAACACCCAAAGTCTGCAGGGGAATATGGGGCCTACTGTGAGATGCTCATGCCGTTGGGACAAGAACTGTGCAGCAGTGAAGGCAGGTTCAGGACTGGGACAGGCTGGGCCCTGAGGAGGATGAGAGAAAATCTTTGAGTCTTTTCGATGTGTAAAGTGGGGCCAATATCCCTCTGTCACTGTGGTACTGTGAAGATTCAGGAACGTTTCTGAAGCATGCTGGTATTCTAGTAATGGATAGTGTAGGAAAGGTGTGAGGAAGTTAATCTCTTCTTCAGAGGAGATTTTGGTTTCAGCACGGTAAATGAGGCTTCATGTTTAATATATACATTTCAGAGTATGAATTAGTGCTCAGTAGGTTAATGTTGTCTATTCTATGTACTGAACGAGATCTCAGTCCTGGAGAAATTTCAGGATACAATCATAAAATTAACTACGCTATTCATATATACAAGGAAATTGATTCAGCTCTATCTGAATTTTGACATTATTCTGTGACAGGAATTTAAAGTTGCAACATAAATAAAGCCTTTCCTAAGCAATACATTAAATAGGTCATAAAATCTTGTTAGTACAACAAGGCTGCATATTATTTGCCAGAATCCAAGGAGCCTTTTCAAAATGAGTTCTTCGAATGTCAGTTCAATTGGATGTGGACATTTGCACAAGACTTCCAACTGATATTACCGGTCAAAACTGTATGCAAATCCAGTACAGCCTTCACACTTTGGTGCATATAAGAACAGGAGCAGGTTAGCCATCCTTTAGTTCCCATTATTGGCTGTGGCAGCCAGACAGCTGTATAATATCCAACACGCTATAGCCTGTATTAAGCAATACTTTTGCCAAGTGGTACCAGAATTTCCTCTTGATCAATTGTCGTGCCCTCCCTGCACCCCTAAAATCACATGCTTCCTTGGAAGAAAAAAAGACATATAGCACAAAACTCAAGACATCCAGACTATTGTTAAAAGCAAACTAAGCCCTTTGGATTTTCTCTGTCTCTTGGCCATGCTATCAAAAGGCAAGTGAATACAATAAGCTAGATTTTTTTTTTTTCCCCCCAAGTGTATCATCCAATGCATTTCTCCCTCGTAACATCAAGGCTGACACTTCAGTATATTGCCAGCAAACACCCTCCTGCTCTTAACTGCTTCAAGAGTATTTGATTTCTGAGGTGCATTAAGTAGCCACTTGCCAGAAAGTAATTTCATTTGTTAGATGCTATGTTTTTCGCAGTCGGATTAACTGATCAGTTTTTAGGAACATACTGCTTGTGAGCCTGACCCACGTCCTACGTGTAAAGAATGGGTCGGCATGATTGCTTTGTGAGTGGCAGTATGCTCAAGAGAAGGTGTGTCATTTATCCCGGTAAATCCGGCTGCTGCGGTGCGTCTTGCTGCCCACCTTTCATGGATGCTAAGTGTCTTCAACTGTTCTGGACTTTGAATTATGAAAGAACTTTCAGAGGATTGCAGCTTTTCTGCCTTTCGTGGCCTGACACAATTCTGGCAGACACTACTAGCTGAAAACCTTTTTGTCTTGTTTGTTTGGGTAGTTGGGTACTACTAATGTGATTCACATCGTGGTGGTGGTGTAAGATGGTTTAGCTGTCCCATGAGAAAACAGCTCATTGATATGATTGTACATTCACTTTTTAGACTGCTGCCACAATTCTAGAAAAAAATAAGTTTTGCAAAGATTTGGAAATCAAGTATGATGCAAGACTTCGAGAGAGAGTAAGTGCCAAAAGAGTTTGTTTTAATATTGAACATTGAACAATTTGAAAATGTAAAGTACTGCTGATGGATATCTTGGCTTATTAAATGGTAGATTTAACAGTGAAGAGCACTGTGTTTTTAATCACTGAAAACTGAACTCTTCACATCAGGTACTATAAATTGTTTGCCGAGTTGCGAAGCAAAGCCAAAGTTTAGTGGTTAGTGCTGTAACTGTGATGCTTTAATGATTTAAGTAAGATAAGATTTACATGTAGAGGGAATTATCTTAAATGTAATAAAAAGCTTAGCTCTGTTTTCTAACCCCATATGTAAAGTGTTAAAGATACTCCCTCTACCTACCTTTTCTAGCCTGATGGCACAAGTCAATGTTGGCTTTCTAGCTGTTTATACCTTTTCATTTGCAAAAAGACTACTGGAAAGCTTTCTGCTGTCCATGGAACAATCTGCTTTCCTGATTAGCCTGATAACAAGCATAATTGTACCTCCTGTCTGTTTTAAAGTATGTCTTGATCAGAATAAACTCAGGTGCTGGCTGTTTCTGCCAATATGAATCACCCTTCAGGTGCTACACTGAGAGTGTCAGCTGAATGTTAAATAAGGAAATGCTACAAAACCAATAGTGGGATGGCAGATTGCCAGCAGGCAAATAAGTGTTTAAGTAGCATTTCCTATTTGGATCTTCTTTTTCTGTCAGAAATTCCAGTTCTTCCCCCAAAATCAGCAAGTTAAATGCCTCCCAAACTTCTTCAGTTGCTTTACCACCTGATGTTTTTGAAAATACTACGGTTCGTGATACAGAATTTTAGAAAGAATAATCTTAAGTTTGTGTTACACATTTTTTCCCCTTTCCTGGTGTTTTTATGGATGTATAGAAATACCAATACAATGTCTGCAGTCCACAGGTTGTAAGTCATTACTCTGGATAACTGGAATTAAGTTTGAATTGCATGAAAAGAAGCAACGTCCTTTAAAAGAACATATGTCATTGACCCTATTAAGAAAGTTTTATTCTCTCATGCCTTGCTTTCATGAGAGAAGTCTGGAAAAATCTTCAAGATTAGGATTTCATTTTCAGCAGCTTCGGAGCAGTTATTTCTTCATGGCTTTCTTAGTGTTCTTAAACTGCCAATATTTTGCTTTAGAGAAAGGGATTGAGAGGCTGAAGTAAATGTGTTTCAGTACATTTAAATTCTGAAGACTGTAATAAATTAATTATTATGGCATCTAATTGCATATCCACAGCAAGTGGATAGTGACATAGAAGTCAAAAAAGCCTCAGTAATGAGTATGCATCTGTATCCTAGTCATCAAAGTCTGTATTTCTGGAATGTGTGTAACTGAGCGTTTGACAGTATAGCATCAGCTCTTTCTCAAAATACGCATCATAACTGCAGCATTTTCACTGTCTTCGGACTTTTCAAGGAAAGACCAAAGCTTTCCACCTGAATATATTTTGCATCTGTTAGTGGTAGTGAAGTATTAATCTTCAGAGGGATCTGTTTTACCATTGTTAGAAATCTGCCTTGGAAAGATCTTCAAGGTCAAAAATTGTAATGCACATCCAAGTATATCTATCTTGTAAAATACATTACAGATGAGAAATACTATGTTTTATAATGGGACTTCTAGTGACCCAGAATAACTAGCTGGTATATATGGGTTCTTACTACTGTTTCTCGTATGGGCCTTGTATTTGGAGGTCTCAGAAATAAGCATGTCATTGAAGATGGTTAATTGCATGTTCTCTGAGTCCATTAGCATATGTTTTTAAGGTCTTTTTTGCCTTTACTGTTTTCTGAAAACACTGTCCACAGCAGTAATGTATGTTCTGAAAAAGTCGGGGAAGGCCTTATTGTTTATTTTTAATAAGTACAGTACTTGTGGTTTTTCGTCTTTTTTTTTTTTTTTTTTTTGGTCTTTTTCAAAAATTCTAATTTTAAAACGGACTCGTCTGTTGTGGAGATTTCAGAGGTCTGTAGAGAAAATATGTGTTTCTTACTTGTGAAAAATAATTATGTAGTCTTTCTGCATATGAAAAGTAAATGGATTTATCCTGATGTGAACAGCTACATACAGAGGTGTTTGCAATGTAACCTCAGTTACAAAGACACTTGAATTTTGTATGCTAAGAATGAATGTCAAGAATGTAGGAAAAAATTTCAAAGCAAAGATCAGGCTGAAGGTAGTGTTTTGAATGTTAGTACTTTAAATAAGATGCTGTTCTTAATGTATTTCTGTACCCAGCAGATATATATATATTTTAACTTAAATAGCAGATATAAAGATACCTCCTCCCCCAATATTGCAATAAAATGTAAAAGGTAGTTAAGCCTGCACATTACACTTGAGAATCTAAGAAAACAAGGCTGTTAAGAGATGTTCGCATTGGAAGCGGTACTGGAGACTCGATACATCTTGCTAAACCCGCTCTTTGTAACTTGTCTCTTACAGAAATACGGTGTTGCAGAAGGAAGGCCTTTGACTGACCTTAAGGCTATGGCAAAGGCTGCTGGAGAGCAATGTCCTTCATTTACGCCTTCTGGAGGAGAAACACTGGATGAAGTATGGTATTTATTTATTTGTGCTCTAGTTTCTAGGCCATTTCATCAGTGCAGATGCAGCTATTGCATACTTAGGAACATCTGATTGAGAGCTTAGCCCAACCAAAGGTGGTTACTTTCCAAGCTAAAAACATTACCTGACGTGATTGCAGTGGCTGTCAAGTAAGGAATCTCTTTAGAACTAAAACACTGGTTCTGAGACTGACTCCTCGTGAAGCTCTTGTCTGCAGGAGGATGATGGCGGTTACTCTCAGCCTTGGCTTTGGAGGGCAGAGGAGTTTTTACAGCATTCAGTAACTTACCATTGATTTCTGAGACTTGTCTGTGATAAATGTTTATCTTTTAACTGAAGTAGTTGTATCTCAGATTTCTGAAAGCAGAAGCCTCTTGCATTTTTCACAATGTATTCTTCTGACCTTTCTCTTCAGGTAAGAGAACGTGCAAGGGATTTTTTTGAATTTCTGTGTCGGCTAGCTGTTGAATTGGAAAAGAAAGAGCAAGACATGCATGGTGCAGCAAGCAGAAGCTCAGGAGCATCTGAAGAACAGTTCGTTTTCCCTTGGACAAACCACTGCAGTGAAGCAGAACTTAGCTCTGGTAGTGGTGGAGCTTCTAAAATATTAGATGCCAATATATTAGTAGTGAGTCATGGAGCCTACATGAGGAACTGGATGGGTTATTTTGTTTCGGATCTCAACTGTAGTTTGCCAACAAATTTAACAAAGTCTCAGTTGTCTTCTGTCAGTCCCAATACAGGAGTTAGTCATTTCGTTATAAAACTTGAAAATGGAAATTTGTTAAAACCTGAAATCACATGTGTTTGTCTTAATCAAGACTCTCACTTAGTGGATGTGGGAGCTGAATGCGTAGCTCCGAAAGTGTTTTAAGAGTCTTTGTAGGGGGAAGTGGTTTTAGATCACCATTATACTAAACTTGGAAAAGGTGTCTGTAGTAATTACTGGGATTGACTGGAGTTATTGACACTAAACCACAAAATTGAAGACATGCAACTGCTTACCATCTTAAAATAACACAATTTGCATGGTCATAGTGCCCGATACAAGTTGGCACTAGAGAAATAACACAAATGTTCTTTATGAATAGAAACTTACTTCAGTCCCTTGCATATCTGCTCTTAGAGTGCATATTTTTAAAAACTTCTTTTGATTAGTCCATAATTAGTTCGGTTATCTCCAGGTAAAAGAGTTGGGGAGGGGAGAGGAATGGTACCTCAAAGATGAACTATACTGTATTCTTGTTTTATTACAAAATGCTATATTGTAATATTAAACATATATGTTGTCTTAAAAAAACTTTTTTGAATGCAATAGTATAATCTAAAAAGGAGCATTGCCTAGTGGAAAAGGTTTGGTACAGAGTCAGGGGACATGTTCCTGGCTCTGATACTAAATAGCTGTGAGACTCTGGGCGAATCTCTTTTCCATTTGTAAAATGGGGATGATGATATTACCTACCTCGCAGGAGTGTTTTGTAAGAAATTGTTAGTGTTGTTGAGACCTCTGTTGAAGAGCACTGTACACAAACGTAAAGTATTTATTTTTAACTGTAAGCAGGATGAGGAACCTCATGTGCACATAGTTGAAATAATGGTCTCTCTTCTGAAAAGGAACCTTCTCAATAGGGTGAGTTGTACCTGACTAGAATCCTGTTGTCAATTGCAGTCGTACGCTTGATGGATGAATATTTTTGCCTAGAATTAGGCAAGTTTGATTGCTTGATGATTGCTTATAGTTGCTGTTAGTACTGCATTCTTTCCCCACTGGGGTGTTTGTAGTGTTACTGTGTAAGCTTATCTGACTTACGTTATTTATAATATCCACTTACTTTTTCTTCATTTGCATATTTTAAGCCTGTTTTAAAAAAAAAAAAAAAAATTAAAGGCTCCTGAATAGAACTCTATTTCGTCTGTATTTCTTTTGAGGTAAAAATCTGTGTTAATATGACTCTATGAAGCTTTGCTCAGATCATGGAACTTCCTTTTTTTTTCTGAAAAACCCCAGGCTGGTCTTTTACTGTGAAAAAGAGCCCTTTTTAGGGCTGATGGATCAGTGCTATCCTGACTTTTACCTGGAAGAACCACTGATGTTAAAACGTTAAGGACATACTTAAATTGCTTGCAACTGTACAAAATTAACTGTTTGACTGAATTCTTTGTAATTTTAAAAAATATGCTGTCCTGTGAACTTTAAACTGCTTGGCTTCTTTGCCTTGAAGCAGTGACTTGAATTTTAAGGAGGGAAAAGAGGTTACTCTTGTTTCCTTGAAGAGGTGGGTACCAATACTTAACTGCAGCCCTGCTGAAAAACAGCAACAGAATTATTTAATCTGATTCTAGTGACTGTACTTTGCTTCTTCCATTCCTGTGACTGTGATTCAGTAGGAGAGTTCTTACGATTCCTACTTGAACACAGAACGGAGATCTCCTTCCGTTCTCCGTGCTGCTTGCCCAGTGCTAATACTGCTAAAATGCGGAGGATGAAGTGGGAAGTGTTCAGCCCTGTGGTGACCAGAGGTAAGCTTCTGAGGTAGTGCTCTCCAGAACCTGGAAATGAACTGGAGGCTTTTTACATGCGGCGGGGCTTGTTTATCTAGCAAATGACCATGAAACCATCTTCTGCAGTGTCTGAAAACTCATCCATGGAGAGTAAAGCAGCTTACCTGATGTGTAAAGATGGGTATGAGTAACTCATGTCAGCAAACGTTGGTCTTTCAACCTCTAACACATTATATAATGTGAAGGACTGGAGGCTCTTAACTTGGGTTGGCAAATTTAAACTGGAGTTTTATACTGAACTTCTGTATCGATAGGCTAAACTTCTTATTTATTGATCAGCTGGCTTCCTTTCATTTCTTTACAGATACAGAGGAAAGCTTCATTATGGCTCTTCTTTCCCCATATGAGGCAGTTCATAAATATACAGGTGTGTCTGGGCAAAGTTTTGTGACCAGGGGTTTTCCAGCAAACATGAAATCTTCATAATATAGAATCCTGGGAAACTTAAGATTTCTTGATAACATAAAACCAAGCTTTGGTCAAAATGTCTCTCTTTCAAGTTTAATTGTATACAAGCAGCCTTTGTTCAAAACAAAGGTATTCTTAAGCAAAGTGTTTCAGTGTTGTTCAGAAGTAAAAATTTCTGAATTCAAATAGTCACAATAAAATGTTTAGAAAATTAGTAAATTTTTTTTTTTTTTGAGAAAGCCAGCCAACTGGAAAAATCCTTGGTAGCCAACCATTATTGACATTATGCATGTTTACCACGCAAACAGTAAGTTTGTGTTTGTGAAATTAAAAAGGGTCTGTTTCAAATCAAAAGTACAGACATGACAGCAGTAGCTTGAGGAAATGCTCAAGACTTTTGTTTAAAAGTATCCATAGATTTTTTTTCACAAATAAAAGAATTCATTCTTAATATACTGAAGGAAATAAGTTACGTGCACAGGAAAAAGGGAATGTGGGCTTTTGCACAGACTCCACGAGCTTCTTGTGAAATGCATCTTCCTAGACGGCTCCTGAATACTAAATTGATGATCACAGCCAAAGAAGGTAGAAAAGTTATAATTATGACGACTAACAGAGTTAATGGCAGAGGGTGGGACAGAGTTCATTCTTCATTTGCTTGTCCCTGGTAGTGCCTGTTTATTTTGGGAAGACTGGTTACATAGCAGGAGACTATTCTGTTGGTGCTTTAAATAGCTTGAGCTTTTCCGTAATTGCCATGTCCTGAATTTTGTCAGTCATGCCATTAACACTTCTTGGAGCCAGAGTAACCAAGTTGAAAATGTGCATCCTTCATCAGCTAGAAAATGGGTGGAGACCTAATACATTTTCCTCCCTAAGCCCGTAACTTCTGTCAAGTATTTCAAAACACCCTAGTGATTTCTGTGCTTTAAAAGGCTTTTTTTTCTTTCTTGCCTACCCTCAAGCAGGTTAATTAACATTTTTTTTCTTGCTGATGAGGTAAACATCTTATGGGAACATCTACTTGTTTGTTAAATGCTTTGCCGCTTCTTGGGTAATACTCTTCCCGTAGGGATTTTTGAATCTTCCTCTGTAATATGCTCTACCTTCTTTAATGTATTTGTAGGTGGTTAAAATTTAGACCCATCCTGAGAAACCTGTCTTTGTGATTGTCTTCTTTAAGTTATTGTTAACAAATTCTTTCACCTTGTGTTAACTCTTACATAGGGCAAGCAGCAGGTGCAGTAGTGTCTAACCGTGAAAAATACCGAAGCGTGAAACCATTCAAGTTTTCTAAACACCTCCTATGTTAATGAAGTAACATTTTTCAATGAGAAACTTATGAGCTAGAATCTCCTAATTAAGACTTTGTAAAACACACTAAATTGGCGCAAACACATCTGCCGGGGATGTGGCCGGGGGAGTATAAGCAGTCAAGCGTGTCTTCTTTCCCTATATATCGGCACTTGACATTGTTGGAGACAGGATACTGGCCTAGGTGATCTGATAGCCTGCCCTAATGTAGTTACACTTTTTATTTCACCTTTGTTATATCAATTGTAAGCTTCTCTATGCATTAAGAAGTAAATCAGTAATTTTGGAAACTTCTGAAGTTAATTGTAAGCCTTCTTTTCTTTAGGTCTGTGTATGGTACTTGTCTGTTTAAGTCTTTGAATCGACACTGAGATGCAATCTTTCTTTTTGCTCTTTTAATAAAGTGACTCTTGTACAGCAATTCCGTACAGTTTATTGGGATCATGGGAAAGGGGAGCTGTAGTTATAGATGGTTCTGTTAGGAATAGTAGCAGAACATAAATATTTGAGGGATTACTCAGTAGTGGGCAATGAATGTTTTGTCCTTGTGAAATGCCAGTCTCTAATTAGCAGCAAGAGACAAGGCCTCAACTACAGGGTGGATTTTCAGCAGTAGCTGCCAAGATGTAAGAGAGGCTGTGAAAGCAGATCGAGCTGTTAAACACATTACCAGGATGATAAGAATTTCAAGTGATAAGAAAAAGGTACATTCCTTTCGAATACCGTTGTAGGAAAATAGTGCTGAAATAAATGTTAGAAACATGTCAGCTTGCCCACATAATGGCCTTTAGTCAGATCTGAGAGAACCAATCCATACTTTAAAATCATCTTTTAAACTGGTGAAGGTTAAAACAAAAGCTGTCTTGGCAGGCTTTTTCAGCTGAACAATAGGAGAAGAAAAGGTGACTGTGGAGATCACCAAGATCAAGAGGAAACTCGGTCCTCTGCTTTCTAAGCTAATAGTTTCTTTTGCTGAAAAGTCCAGTGGTACTCTGCTCCCAAAAAAGTGATGCTTCAAAAGGTAGGGGAGTTGTGACCTCCTTTGATAAAGTCATTGTTTGTGTTTAAGCATTGCTTTACCAGGCCAGGCTTGGTTTGGAAAAGGTGACAGGAGAGACAAAGAGGAGTTCAAAGTTCCCAGCATGGTAGCACACTTGTTGCTTAGTTTTGGCTCCACCAACATCATCTCCTGGCGGGTCTGCTAAATGTCTAGCAGTCAGCAGGCACACACTTTGGCAGAGTGCTCTGGTAGTATCACAGTTTCCTTCCTCTAAAGTATCAGCCCTTTTTCAAGATATTTGCTCTATTCCCACAGTTCTCTGTTGGGTTTATGTGTTCCAGACAGAGCCCTGTCTTTGCAATAGGAGGAGGTGGGATTTTTTTTCCTTTTTTTTTTTTTTTTTTTAAATACAGAATTTAGGTCAGATGCATTCTCTATCCAAGCTTTTGGTATTTCATGAGACTGCCTCAGATCCACAGCCCACATGCCTGGACCTAATATATGTCAGATTTTCCCCAGATGTGTCCCTCTTGTGAGGGCTTTGGCTGTGAGCCTGAGGTTTTTGGATATATAGTAATCCCAGGCAAATGGCAGCTGCGTGAGCACAAATCAACTGCACAGTATGTGAGCTGTTTCCCTGACATCGGTGGATATGGCAAACCCGCTG